GAGTATAATTGGAGTTGAAATTTTTTAGAGAGCTCCTAAAATAACTTTCTTATATTTTTAGCTAAATTTTAGATAAGAAATAAAGAGCATCATTGCAGATGCTCTTAGTTAGGTGCACAATCAAGGTTGGGGTCCCATGATATTAATGAGGAATAATGCGTACTCCATAATTGATTTGCTTCACTTAAATGTTTCTTGTTGACATTCGAGTACACCAGACCCGTGTCTCCATGCCATGCGTGTTTCCTCCAAAACCAGGTAAGAAAAAACTTGTGCTCATCAAAATCTATTGTTTTTATGTTTGTAAATCCGACCGACTTCTCAGCTTTCCTCCAGCTATTTGTTCATACACCCACTCTCTTGAACAAAAAGCTTTATCCAAATATTGCAATTTGTAATTTGTTTGAATATATTCTTTGAAAACCTCAACTTTTAAAACAAGAAATTTATTTTTGATTTGATTTAAGTTTCTTGACCGTTGGATAGGATCCACCTCATAATATTCTTCCACTGATAATTTTTTTACTTTGTCGATAAAATTTCGCATGAATGAATATGGTCCGTCTCTATGAAATTTAACAAAATATCAAATAAGTGTGACTTTGGGATATTATGGTATATGGCCTATACCTTCGAGGATACTGAGCCTTCAAACAAATGAGGAAAAAAAATTATATATTTAAACAAACGAACGAGATTAATTAAGATTGTTCTAGAAAATGAAAAAGAAACGAACGAGATTAAAGATTGTTCTAGCATATGGAAAATAAACGAACGATATAGATTGCCTGAGGAAGATGGCAAGAGCCATCATCACGTACAAGTACAACCAAAACCGACCGATATCGGTGACATGCATGAAAATAAATAGAGATTAAAACGACACAGCACTCATTCTTTATTCTTAACGTAGCCTAGCTACTTCTACTATATTATCATCTCATATCATCCTTCAACATGCTTCTCCGCATCATCACTTCACGCTGCAACACATATAAAACCCAAAATAAATAACTCGTATAGTGTGTTTAAATTTTAAAACATAATATAAAAAACTGTCACATTATTTGATGAACAAAATTTACCTATTGCAGTTAGTGGAGGCGCTGATCTTGTAGGGAATTTTGACGCCGCACATGGAAGGGAGGGCAGCAGCGTAGCCTGGGTTGATGCCTTTGACTGCGCCAGCAACTGTTTTCAAGCACTTGCAAGCATTTTGGCGATCAGCTGTGGTCGTGGCTGAGCCGACCAGCCTTTTGATCCCGGGGCAGCAGCCCCCAGCGGGGACACCGCCCCGCTGGAGGTATCCCAGGCATGGGGCAAGCCCGGCCTGAATCTGAGGACACGTAAGGGCTGCCTCGGTTATCAAGGGTGCGGCCACCATCATGCACATGAAGAGACCACAAACCACCTTAAGGCTAGCCATGGCAATTGTTGTAGTGTTTCTTTCGCTTGGGGTCCTTTGATCAATTGAATTAATGTTGGTGTGTGATGTATGGAGGTGTAGAGTGTGGTGTTTATGTAGGGAAAAATAGTAGTGGGAGGTTGTGCTTTTCTGTGTCCAGAAGTAATGGCACTGACTGTAAACGTCTGGTTTCAATGCCCTCCATAACGCATGCAGAAGATGATCGAGACTCGATGTGCATGCATTGCTATAAACGACAATCTCAGCTCATAGAAAGATGTGTTGGGTTATCAAAAAACCCCATTCTTCATTTCATATATTGGCAAAAAAGGAGAAAAAATTGCAAGGTGAACAAAGTTTATCCACACAATTATTTCAAGTACCATATATATTTTCTTCTTATTTGATTCGATCCCTCGTTTTGATCAAATTTCTACGAGTTATTTCAGCATTTAACTTGGAATAATCTAACAATTATCTTTTGATGAAGTTTCTGGCGCTTTAACAAGAGAATGAGAGATTGCAGGAATGTTAGAAAGATGTAACACATGCATGCATGTATTCTGGAATTTGTAATAAAATACTCATATGAAAAATGAATTCAACACAAGTAGATCTAGAGGTTACGTTTATGTGTGGTTCATCAATTACAGGCGCCCGAATTCAATTAAAATGCAAGGACGGCCGCCTGTAATTCGGGTAAGAGTCACACTCATAGCCTCACAGGCAAGGTTGGTCACCAGTTTAGGATCGTGGTCAAGCTCATAGAACATGGGCTATATGAATTGGGAAAGGTTGGTCACCGTTTTTTATTTTTTTCTTCTTTGTGTCCTTTTGTTGGTAAAGTTACTGGTTTTCTAGGGTGTAATTGGTATTGAGTAATGTAAAATGTAACTCCTTCTTTATCGTTTAGACTATCGCTTGTATAAAAAAAAAATTGTATAATGTAACCTGACTGACTGCTTGTTGGTAGTTGAACTTGAATGCATTACTCCATTAATTGGCAAAATTTGACATTTGCTGAGGAAGGGGTTCGTCATCCCATGCTGCGTTGTTCAATTTCAATGTAAATATTTTGCAGATTATCTGAATTTGTATATATACGTTTTTATTCTTGATAATTGCTATGAGCCCCAAATATAATTATGTGAAATTGATAGAACTGAGTCTCACATTTCTTATAGCATTTGCAAAAGAAAGCAAGCATTCTAAAGGGACCATTGCCCGATCTCGTAGAGAATGCAAAATTAGGAAAAACAGTAGCTGTACCTTGTAGACTATTGTCCTTGGGTTTTGCAACAACAAGAGCAAGTTTGAATAGTCATCGAGATTTGATCTCTCTGACTGACCATTACCAATAATATTTGCTATTATGGGTTAGTGTGCCACACCCACTCCCACACCCATTGATGTGTAAGTGAGCCGACCACATTGACATTGTGCCATACCTTTTCTTTCCCACCGAAAGACAACAAGCAACAATGGGCTAGCTGTGGTCCAGCCTCCTTCCGTAGCTGCCCTCCCCTGCATTATTCATTCATATTTGCAGCAAACTATCTAACTAGGGTTCTACCTACGTTCACATAGGCCTTGAAGACTGATAGCTAGAAACCCTAATTTCACTTTTTTAATCAAGTGTTGTTTTTAACGCAGTTAATATTGTGCATTCCTTGTGGAAAAAGTAGGCAAAAATATATTAATATGTATATGTTGTTGCAGCATTGAAATAATTGTGATAAGTTTGTAGTTATTGCTTGCCTCCATGTTTGTTGCATCACTATAAAACTGGTTACATTTTACTGTTTTGGCACAAGTGAGACTCCAAACACTGGTTAAAGGAGCCGCTTTGAGTTTCAAGGAGAAATGTAAGATTTGATCATACTTTGAGGCGACACTGGAGTAATTAAGCCAAATAAATACTACTAAATGAATAAGTATTTCAAATAAAAACATGAAATATTTCCTTTAAAACATTACTCCAAATAAATATAAAACAATAGAACCTTTGGCACTAGTCATATTTCATTTTGCGGACAAGAAACACGTTTACCTAGAGAGAAGGATGGGGCTGAGCTGAGCCTCGTTGGAGTGTCGGCATCACCAGTAATGAAAGAAAGACAGAGACGCGTCCACATATCCTGCATTTCCGACACGTCGTACGTCTCTGTCTTTCGTTCTTTTTCTGTTGATGATTGATTCGGACGACGGAACGGAAGGGGCAGATGGGATAGGAGACTGACGAATACACGGACCCTCTTGTGAGGCCTCTATTATTTCTCAGAATGGTTGTGGGCCCACCTCTCGTCTGTGGCCAATTCAAATTCGACAAGGTTACCTTACCTACCAATTTGCCACCGTCGATTTTGTTGCATCTTTTTCACATTCTTCAAGTTTTTTGTTTTTGTTTTTTTGATTTGTACATATTCAAGGCCAGGGGAGCCCAATCAAACTTTTGGATTTGTGCATTAAGTTTGCCAGTTATAGCTGCCCAGTTGAAGGGCCGACTTGATTTCATCGAAGTTCAGGTTGAACCAACAAAATCTTGCAGAGTTGGCTCGCTCACATGCAAACTTCTTACTATGAAGGGCCCAATGCTGCATGGGGATCAATAAGGCCCTTTGTAAGATGAATGAGAGGCAAGATTGACAAAAAGTCAACACAAAAACAAAACGGAGGTTGACGAATGACATTCCTCTTAATCTGATGACGGTAAGCCATTGATGCGTTGTAGGACACACACACACTATTCTCAATCATTTTACTTCCAATTTTTTTAATATAAGCGATAATCTAAATTATATGAGAGAAAAAAGTTTTTCGCACACACTACTGTAATATCTAGTATGCCAATCAAGATCATTTTTCATTTGCTAGACCCCGTTAGCATTCGCAACCATGTTCTTTGTTTTTATTTGTCCATTAATTGTTAGCCCAAGCTCTATACCAAAATCACAAAGACACTATATATTGGTGTAGTTTGAAAACATCTTGGGCCATGTCTTTAATAATCGAATTCATATTGAAGGCCCATATATTTTAATTTTGCATCTGCAAGGCAATAAAAGTCTATGCAAGTTGCAACCATTAATTGGGGATTGGACATGGCAACCATCTACTCACTCATTCTCCACCATATCTTTTCCCGTGGCCCCACAATCACCATTCATTCATTATCGATTAATTCAGGCGATTGTTGCAATATTATTCTTCAATATTATATTCTTGGCAATGCATATTTGGGGACGTGGCAAATGCTAGCTCCAGCAAATACATGCAAAAAGGCCCTTGTTATATTGTTAGATTATCACCGTCTAAAGTTTAAGTTATCAGAAAATAAACCAACGATGTATATCAAACGAACAGAGATAAAGTCGTTTGAACATCGCACCCCACTAAATTAATGAATGAAATACGCATCTTCCCCCCCCCGACACACACACATGGAATCCAGCCACTTTCTTCGTTTAAGAGTTTTAGCTTGGAAATGAATGCTCATGAAGTCGAAGAAGCTAGAAACTCATTATTCATTTTAAACTATAACTATATATACAAGTGTACACGAACATCTTCTCATTAACAGTTGAGTCAAAAAGCAGTTGCTAGTTGAGACAAAAGTACTTGCTAAAGAAGCGAACTAAGAGTCCAGAGTCTTTGTGGCAAATATGCCAGCTTGGGTGGTGAAGTCGAGGGTTGAATTTTTGGGGAGGGAATGGAACTTTGTGGATATAGGCTCAATCGTTTTCCTTTCCACTTTGCATGTCCTTGTTCTTTTGGCGCCATTTCATTTCAACTGGAGGGCATTTTGGTTGGCCGTGGCACTCTATTATCTCACAGGCCTAGGTGTCACTCTATCTTACCATAGGCAACTTTCCCACCGGAGTTTTAAGCTTCCCAAATGGCTTGAATATTTCTTTGCCTATTGCGGTGTATTGTCAGTTCAAGTCTGTGAATCAAATTCATCATTAATTATGTGACAAGTTTTCATTGTAACACTTAATATTTTATAAATTTTTATATAAGGTTCTGGTTTGCAGGGAAGTCCAATTGAATGGGCTAGCACACACAGGAACCACCACCAGTTTACTGACACGTGGGACGACCCTCATAGCCCCATCAAAGGATTGTGGTTTAGTCACATTGGTTGGCTCTTCGATTATCATTCTCGATTTGGAAGTGTATAGAACACAACACATTCTTTCTCTATCTCTCTCAAACATGCACTATGTAACCTTTTTTCTTTAACGTAAATTGATTTTTGCAGTATGAAGGACGGCTAAAGAATGTTGATGATTTAAAAAGGCAGAAGTTCTATAGGTTTCTTCATGTCACGTACCCGCTTCACTCAATAGCTTTTGGAGTTTTACTATATGCCCTAGGAGGAATGCCCTTTTTAGCTTGGGGATTGGTAAGATTGCTCCTAATGTTGTTTTTCTTTGTTCGTGAGAAGTGCTATAGCTTTGTTGAGCAAAAGAATAAAATTCAAGCTTTAGCCTTGAACCGACGTTTAGTTTTCTTTGTTTGCAGGGTGTGAGGGCGGCATTATTTGCCCATGCTACTTTTGCACTAAATTCAATTTGCCATAGATGGGGCAAGAAAGTCTGGGATACTGGTGATATGTCTAGAAACAACTGGTAATATTGTAGTTTTTATGCACTCAAATATTGTAGATATGTGTGTATTTATGTGTATATATATATATTATTTGTGTATTCAAATAATATTTTGTAATTGCATGTTTAGGGTATTTGGATTGCTCACACATGGAGAAGGTTGGCACAATAACCACCATGCTTTTCAATACTCAGCTCGGCATGGCTTCGAATGGTGGGAAGTTGATGTTACTTGGTATGTAATAAGATTTCTTGAAATTGTTGGTTTGGCAACAGATGTGAAAATCCCAAGTGAGACTCAGAAGAAACGAAAAGCTTTATCCAACAAACTCAACGAGGAAAAGCTTGAAACACAAGTGAACAACACAAAGCTTGAAGCCCAAGCCAAAAATGAATGACGGAAGCTCAAACTTCTGCTCCAAACATTTTACTATTCTTTTTAAGAAAGCTTCAATTCCTATGTGCTTTCATCTAATCATAAATAACAAATATTATACGTATACGATTCTATGGCCCATCGTATGTCAGGCTATAATAAATTGTAAAGGCAATGTGTGAAATGTAATAATGTATATAATTCAATATATGATCTCATTGTGTGACTAAAAATAAGGGAAATTTGCATAAATGCCACCTGAACTTTTAGTCATGTGTGCGATTACCTCCTGAATTTTGCAAAGTATGAAGACCTTCTATTGTAATTTTGTTAAAATTTTCGTTAAATAAAGTCACATGTTGAACGTGTGATATTTTTAAAGGACATTTTCATCAATTTATTAGAATTAAAAACTTACATTTTTAAGACTAACATAACTAGAAAGAAAAAAGAAAAAAACAGAATTCAACCTAATTAATTATCCCCCCTCCTCCCCCACCCTAAAACTCCTCTCTCTCTCAACTGCACAAACAAGAGGCCAAACTCTGCAAATCAATAACAATTCAGCAATATTTAATTGATTTCTTTATGAACGTTAATTGCCAAGTTGGATTTTACCAGCATAAAGAAAAGAGGAAAACGACTTGAATTGCAAATTGGTAGTGAAGGAGAAAGATGTAGGGGGAGGCGAGAGCTAATATGCTTGATTTTTGTCATTTTTTTTAATTAGTTTCAAATTTGTTAAATTTTTTAATTATAGTAAGTTGACTTAATGGAAATTTTGACGGAGTTATACGTTGGTAGTAAATTGCAACACTTTATAAAGTTTAGGTGGTTAATTATGAAAATTAAAAGTTCAGGTGATAATCTCGCACATAACTAAAAGTTCAGATGGTATTTATGCAAATTTCCCTAAAAATAAGGTAATTAAATTCCTTTGAACATTACGTAAAAATGAAGAGAGTTTCAATGGGATCAACTATACCATACAAGTTATAGACGTATTAAAATAGTTACACCGATAAATAAATTTTTAAAAAAAAAACTGACAATTTTAGGAAAATTACGACTCTCTCAATTCCATTTCTACAATGTACAACCCGGACACATCATCAACTTCCTAACAAGACCCCTTAGTTGGACGGCCAGTAGGTCAACCAATCAATCTATATTATCTATCCTTCATATCCATATTCATGTGACCTCAACCCTCCAACAATCACTACATACGTCAGTTTATTGTTTCTTACTCTCGTGATTCTTCTTACTTTTCTCAAACACCCCCACCCCACCCTAAACAAAACATGATTAAACTATATTATCATCTAAACTTTGTGTTTTTGGGTTGACATTTGCCATTAATAGTTATGAGCTTGTCGGTTTAGAGGAAAGGAAAATTTAAGTTTAAATCCCAAGTCAAAAGTCAAAGCAATTATGCAAAAAGAGATAAGAGCACGAGTGAGTTGGTCAAGGAAGGAGGGCCCAACATATAACATTTTGCATGTGTTTATGATAATAGTTTGAGTCAGATTGTGATTGGTCACCGAGTTTGAATCAAAACCATTTAGTTTGGTTGTTACAATTGCAGGTCGGCTCAACGTGACAACAGCACCCAACCAAACTATTCATTTCAATGCTCGACTTATATTTCTCACTCTTTTTTCCTTTACTATATATGTAGCCTCCCTTTCACTCTCTCTCTCTCTCACAGACACACACAAATTGAATAAGAAAAATAAAACAATGGCTATGAAAGCAATGAACATCCTGCAATTTCTCTTGCTTATACTCCAACTAAGTCTTCAAGCCACACATGGCATTGGCAGCTATGGTGGTGAATGGCAAACTGCCCATGCAACATTTTATGGTGGCAGTGATGCTTCTGGCACAATGGGTAAGCTAGAAATTAAAATTATTGATACTGGTTTAATTAGTTTCACGATTTGAAATGAGCACTACTACACTTACTAACTTTGTTCGTGATATGATCGTGACAGTTTTTTATTTATTCAAATTTCGAATTATTATGATTTATAAATTGGTGAGTGTAATATTTTGTAGGAGGGGCATGTGGTTATGGAAACTTGTACAGCCAAGGGTACGGAACTAGCACAGCTGCTCTAAGCACTGCTCTGTTCAACAATGGTTTGAGCTGCGGGGCATGTTATCAATTAAGATGCAACCATGAGAGTGACCCCAAATGGTGCCTCCCTGGTGGCATCACCATCACAGCCACCAACTTCTGTCCTCCTAATAACGCTTTGTCCAATGACAATGGTGGGTGGTGCAATCCTCCTCTTCAACACTTCGATTTGGCTGAGCCTGCTTTCTTGCACATTGCAGCCTATCGTGCTGGAATTGTCCCCGTACTCTTCAAAAGGTAACATATCTTAGTTCCAAAAATTATGGATGGCACACATATTATGTTGTTAAGTTGTGAATCTTGAGATACAACCATACTAAATTTTGTCTCATCAGATTAACGATTAGATTGACAGTCTGACAACATAACATACTAGATTGTCTGAGAAATGAAAATCCGCGACTTAATTAGATGTAATTGGTTAGGGAGATATTTGTGTTGCTTACCTAGTTGTAATTTTCTTGTTTTAGGGTTCCATGTGTGAAGAAAGGAGGCATAAGGTTCACCATGAATGGTCACTCATACTTCAACTTGGTGTTGATAACAAACGTTGGGAGTGCAGGGGATGTGAGAGCAGTATCAATCAAGGGGTCTAAAACAGGGTGGCTGCCAATGTCAAGAAACTGGGGCCAAAATTGGCAGAGCAACTCCTACCTCAATGGCCAGAGCCTCTCCTTTAAAGTCACCGCTAGCGATGGACTCACACTCACCAGCTACAATGTCGTGCCTGCTGGTTGGAAATTTGGACAGACCTTTCAAGGTGGTCAATTTTAGATAATCTGTGGACAAGAATGACTTATACATAGACTTGTGTCATAAATTATGCATAAAACTGCTTTGCAGTTTGCGTCTTTGATTTGGTAAAATAAAATTATAATGTAAGTAAAATCGATTATGCAAAACGCTATTTTTGTACATGAACAGGCATTTTCTCTCGTTACTTGTTCTCTCCTTTTTCCTTTTTAGACCAAATTCAAAACCACAATGGCTTTAGCTGGTCTATCTTTAATCCTCTATTTGAAAGATTTTTAAGGGAATAATAATTCAACCTCAATTTGAAAGATCTTTGCTCGTTTATGCGGAAGAGGGCAACTTTCCTCGAGAAAGAACAATTCAATTAAGTTAATTATGATCCCTGGAAATGAAGGAAACAAGTGCTCTACAGCATGGTTTCTTTCATCAAATTAACTCGAACATATCAAACTTTACTTACAAACATATTTCAAGAGGCAGTATCTACTCACACTCTAAAACAACCCAAAGACACATCCTCTTTCGGTCCATCACACAGCCAAAGGTTACATTGCAGGATGAACATCAAAAGACACTGCCTCTTCCCTAACAAAAACCACCACTGCACATCAATCATGCAAATGTATAGACTCAATAATTTAGCAACGAGTATTTCACTCTCAAAACAATTTTTCCTTTCTCCACGCCAAGCTTTCCACCCGTAACCAACCAATGACCTGGATGATCTTGCGGCCCCTTGCACATCTCGGACATGTCCAGAAACTTCATCAGCTTGTTTCCCGCAACATTTTCTCTTGAACCTGAACTTGAGTCACTGGTGGACGTCGGTTTCTTTGACTTTTCTTTTGGGGTATGATCCCACAAGGATCTTCGTATAGTGCAGCCTGGTAGCCTAGAATATAAAAGCTTCATGTACAAGACATTTCTTGATCCAAAATCCCACACTCCAAGCTGTGCTCCAGTGACTATGTAGACACCAGAGAGGTCACCTATGAAGGTCTCGGGGTTCTCAATAGGAGCAGTGCTCACATGAGAGAAGTTTTTCCATTTCACTGGCTCGAACCATCGGCTATCTTGCTCCTCAGGTCCTTGCCACTTGGGAGCACCAATTGCGACATGGGTGTCCCAATATGGTAGAAGGATCTTTGGAAGAGATGCTAAGTGTTGAAGATGGATACAAAGTCGATTCTGCTTGCTTCCTTCTAGACATAACTGTACGCCTGTCACTGGCTTCCGTCCAACGGTTACCTGCGTGTCGCAAAATTTTGTTGAAAAGGATTAGATGAAATAACTTATGACAGTATGTAATTTGGACAGACTATCACTATGTCGTTAAAACACGAATCAAACTCAGAATGAGAGATCACGAAATTAACAAATGGGTCATCTAGTGAGGTATCATTCATCAGTTTCTTAAGGGCTATTTAGACATATCAAGGACATGACTATTGTGTTTTACATTTGAGGAATTAAATTATAATCACTTATGTTTTTATCATGTCAATTAAGTTGCTAAAAAAGGTCCTTGCCTGTTCTTAGTGAAGAGAGATTGATTACTAGAAAAAGTCCTTACCTGTTCTTGGCTGACATAAAGTTTTTGCCCCATTATGCTGAATTGCAAGGATGGACAAACAGGTTCTTTTCTTTGGGGGCCCAGATTCCTGTCATATACAGGAGCCCATATTCGAGAAATTTGAAACTCTAGGAAATATCTCAGCTCTTCTATTGGAGGCTTATCTGCAAGAAGAATTTCAAAACAGTTAGCAGAATTACCTTATGGCTAAAAATAGAGTACATTACAGGGAAAAAAAACTATAATCCATCTATGAGGATTCGGTTGTCTTACATTCAAGATAAAGACCAATTGCTCGAGTAAGGTGTTCCTTTCCAGTTACCCCTTCTAGGAGAGCTGTTATCGGGAAAAATGTCATCTCGATTACATCTGGAGAGGACCGGACAGTTCTTGCCCATCGGGTGTGGTTTTGCTCCAGATCGTCCCCACCCCTTCTTCTGAAAATGACTGTGACATCCTGATCCAAGGTAATGAGAAATCACACATAGTAAGTATCACAACTTGGGAAAATGATATTAAACGTTCAAAGAAGAAAAAATAAATGAATAAACAAAAATCATTAAGTGCAATACGTATACAAATGATAAATACTTGTAACATACTTCTTTCCCAGCAAGATATGGTGCAGTAGTGGGCTGAGGGTATATCCCTTGACTGCTATATAAACCAGGATCAACACCCTGAAACATATATATAAAAAATGATAATTAGAAATTAGATTTCAAGTTTTAAAAAAAAGGAAGCTATATTAAATAATGACAAGGAAAAGAAACAAAGCAGAACTAGCCTTATCATTGAATTTCATTTGACCTGAACTTCTATTGCTTTCTGTGTCTGAGAACCTCTGAGTTCCAATATCCTGGACATAGTTTTTGATCTCCATTGTTGACAAAGGAGATGACTGGTGTTGTTTGACATAAATTACATCTTTTCCACCAATTGTTACAGATATGATGACATGGGTCCCAAAATTTTCAATAAAGCTGTCAAGAAAGAGTAGCCAACAATTAGGGAGCATTTAAAAGTATTTTATCACTATTTTATAACTAAAGATCTACCTATTCATACCTTGCCAAAGATGTTGGATCCCAATTAGTCGGGACAGCCTGTTTCACATTTTCTTGCAACACTAGTGGGGTTTTGAAAAGCTGGACCTTAGCAAGTGGAATATAAAATCCATCCACAGAAAGGGTCTTCGTGGCTGCAGCATCAACGTGCCTTGAACCAGTGAAGCTAAATGCAAAGTTGAAATTCCCAAGAGGAAAGCCTCCAGATGCATTAGACTTTTGATTAAAATACTCAACCATCTGCAATCATTCGCCATGGGGAATATGTTAAATAACTTCATGCATTGAAAGTATTATGCTGTTCGTTCTGTACATTATGCTTTAAGCTAACCAATTCTTTTAAGAGGGGTTCTCCCTCTCTCTTTATACACACACAGATTTATAGGCACTCACAGCCTCTTAAAAAATGCAATGGACCACAAATGTTCTTGATCATAATCACGAATGCCTCAATACCACTTAAACAATCAAAGATGCTACTCTTGTGCAAGCTTTATCTTCCTAATTAAACTTAGAATTTGATCCTGAGTTTGGCTGGTAAACTAGCTCAAACAAATACCTAACAAGCGGTGCTTGAACATTTTCTAGTTCAATACATTTTCAAAAGGAAGTAAACAATGTTTTATCTATTATGGACGCAAGGTTAAAAAAACATGTCCATCGCATATGAAACAAGGAAGAACACAAAATACAGAGGCGGAGGCATTTGGAGCTGAATAATTTCCACTCCTTCAAATTAAATGGGTCCGAGAATTTAAAAAAAAAACATACCTATGAATGAAGTTTCAATAAGTTTGCTGCAACTCTTCATTGCTGATTATTCAATTTCATGACATATTTCTCAATGAACATCAATCTCATTAGTTCAACAGTTATCCACTTTCACCACAATCTCAGCATAGTAAGCTGTTTGCAATCTAAACTCAATTCCCAAACTCCTAACCCCAAACCTTAATGCACCTACAACATGCAGACATCCACTAAACCCTCAAAGAAAATACAATAACAAAAGTATACAACTGAACAACCATTAAACATAAGGCTAACATAAGCTAATAAGCATACCTCATGGAAGCTGCAGACTCCAGAACTCTGACGCCCCATGGATTCCTGAGAGTGCTTGATGTCCCTAGAAACATTTGGCACAATTATATCATCATAAAGGCAGAGATCCTTGGTGTACTCCTCATCAAGCTCTAGTATCCTAGACCCTGCCACTCCCTTACAGTAGAGCAACCTTGTATCGAAGTTCACATCGAAGCCTCTTCCTAATGCCTGTACGGAGTTCACAGCTGTATGCAAAGCTGCTGCATTTTCTCCCATTTCTCATCAGAATACTGTGGAACACCTCACTTTTTCTCTGATCAGAAGCAGAGACAACTAGGAAAACTGACCCAAATCCAAAACCCAGTTCCCTATTCGGGTTGTTGAGCTCAATTAGAAGAACCAAGCTGGAAACTTTCCCGGAAACCCACAAGCAATTGGATAATCATAACGTTTTGAGTATTGGGTTTTTGAAGATTTCTCTGTTCAACCATTTTCTCAAGGAAGCTCAAGACTGGTTCTTCAGCAGACTCTTCTCTCTCTCTCTCTCTCTCTCTCTCTCTCTCTCTATTCTTCTAAGTTGACTACGAAAAATCTTTAAATTGATATATTCACGAAGCTGAAGCTCAATTTCCTCCTCTAGATCTCAAATCCACGGAAAAATTATCCAATTTTTCATTCTCTTTCTGTGTGTTTCTCTCCACAATTCTCTCTGTAAATTTCGCTCTCTACCATGTACTTTCTACCAGCTTGCGAGTTAACAACAAGAGGGCATTGACTTCAAGTATTTGTTTTCTCACATAAATGTATGAGTGCATTTTCCTCGACCTTAACGTTTGCTTTGACACGTGCATCTCTGATTTGATCGGACGGTTCTGAGAAAGTCGGCAAAACAGTCGTGTTAGACTTTGATTTGGTCAGGTGGGACAGAGACCTATGGGATTGGAGCTCAACTATTGGTTTCAACTGTTTTTTTTTCCTTTCCTCGGCGTCCTCCTCACGAAATTCTCTCCACGACTAAAAAATTTCGGATACAATTCAAACTAAAAAGTTGCCGTTGCCAACTAAACTGATACTCAGAATCTGGGTTATCTGAATTAGGCCAAAAACTAGTAATTTTAGGTAAATAAAAACAAAATATTATGGCTTTGCAATGTGTGCACATCTATAAAAGGCTGAGCTATTTGACACTTGCAAGCCTTCCCCTAACCCAAAAAGAGAAAGGTCTACTTTGGGTCCTAGTATTTTCCTTGGAAAAAGCTGCATTTGTTTCTTCCATATAAAGGAAATGCTTTCAATCAAATAGATAATTTCAGCTAAGTTCAAGACCTATCCAAATAGCTGACTTTACTGCCTACCTCAAGTGGTATGCATGTACAGAATTTAGAGATCTGGGATTTGAGATGACTCTTTGTATTCAACAAATCTTACCCATTAAAAGCAAACAAAAGAGCCATGCACTGTGCAATGGGGAAACCTCAAATTACCCTTTTACAAGGGGAACCTTTGTCTATGGCCAGAAAAGTAAATTAGATAGTGACATCTATGACACCCTTCAGACCAGAGTAAGAGTTGATATTTTTTTTTTTATGAAAGAGTAAGAGTTGATATTGATCAAGCATCATTATTCTCATCAGTCTTTTCAAGACCCCAAGGTCACACGCCAACACGCACACACAGACAAAGTGCAGGCAGAGCACCATTGCCTGCTAGGGCACGCACATGAAGACATGAAGGCCTGACACTTGCTATGACAAGGTCAACTTTTAATCAGGTGGTCCAAGGAAAACTAAAGTTCCAGCCCCAATATGCATTCATCAATGAGGATGATAGTTGAGTAATATATTACTAACGGCATTTTTTTATTGGTAAAATTACAACATCTGTTACAATTTTGTTTTGTTTTGCTGACAAATTATCCATAAATGACATACATACCAAGTCAATGGCTTCCATTATTTCATCTCAACATGGCTGAAGCCGAGCGTTTTTGGGACTCCCTTACAAATCATCTCATTCCTCAATCGCTCAACATCATCCCATCTCTCTGCTTCAGCATAGATGTTTGACAACAAAACATAATATGCATCCCTTAGAGGCTCCAATTTGGCAAGCTGCTGGAAGCTTTGCTCTGCCAATTCTACGTTTCCATGTACCCTACAAGCACCCAACAAGGTTTTCCACAACAAAGAGCTTGGCCCGGAGGGCACAGCTTTGATCATCTCGAACGCTTCTTCTAACAATCCCCATCTGCTGAGAAGATCAACCATGCAACCATAATGCTTCTCATCAGGCACAATCTTGTATTCTTGAACCATCTGATTGAAATAGCGGCGTCCTTCTTCCACCAAACCCTTACGGCTACAAGCAATTAAAACACCAATAAACGTTATCCGGTTTGGTGTAACTTCACCAAGCTGCCTTTCCATAGCTGCAAACAATTCCAAAGCCTCATTGCAGTAACCATGGACGCCCAAACCCACAATCATGGCATTCCAGCAGCCAACAGGTTTCATTTTCAGCTCACCAAACACTTCCCAAGCTGAACTCAATTTCCCACATTTAGAATACATATCTACAAGGGCAACACCCAAATACCCTCCAATCTTATGGTGCTGTAGGTTCAAGGACTCGTGAATCTTCCTCCCAATCTCCAATGCACCAGTTTCAGCACAAGCACCCAAGATAGATATAAGCGTAACTTCAGTAGCTTCCACCTCAGCAATTTGCATTTCACGGAAGAGCTTCAATGCTCCATCATAATCTCTAACCTGAACATAGCCAGCAATCATCGAATTCCAAGAAACCGAATTCCTCACAGGCATCTCTCGGAAGACTATTTTTGCAGCCTCAATGTTGCTCAACCTAACATGCCTTGCTAATAAAGTATTCCAGGAAACTACATTCTTCTCAGGCATTGACTGAAACAGATAATCCGCGGATTCGAAATCGACAACCTGATCATAAGCTGATAACATGATGTTCCAAGAAGAAGCACTTCTGTCAGTCATTTCGTCGAAAACACAGCGGGCAAGTTCCACAGACCCACACTGAGAATACACAAAAATCAACGAATTCTGAACATACAAATCACGATCAAAGCCCAATTTCAAAACCCGGCAATGAATTTCACTTCCCTTACGATCAATAACAAAGCCACAAGCTTTCACCTCATCTTCTTCCATACGTTTCATCACTCTAGCACAAGCCTTGAGAGCAAAATTGTATGTGAAATGATCAGACCTAACATTCGTTTCCTGCATATAGTTGTAAATATGTATAGCTTTGATGGGGAAGACGCTGTTGGTGTAAGCCCTGATCATGGTGTTGCAGATGAGAGGGTCGTCCATGGTGGTCTCTTCGAACAGGGCTTGAGCGTGCACGAGGCAGCCTAGCGGTGACAGTGATGCGAAAGCAACGAGCTTTGCGACGATGGATGTGTGAGTAAAGAAGAGACCTGTTTTCGTGAGGAAACCTTGGGCTGCTTCGACTTGTTTCATGGAAGAGAGTTGCTGAAGCTGAAGAAGCTTGGAAAGTATGTGGGAAACGGCGAGAGTCGCACTCAACATCTTCCATTCCGAAAGTTCTGAACTTGATGGCTCATTTGGATCATCAATATATATTGGATTGAAATTAGGTACTCAAAACGACGACGTATGGTTTTAAGTTCTGTTATGACCATTTTACCCATTGCTGAAAATCTTGATCAGAATTCAGATGCAAAAGCAAAGACAAAATACTTTTGCTAGATTCAGATACTTCATCACCTAGAAATCCAAATACTGAAAATGATTTTGCTAAAAAAGGGAAGGTTCCATTGATAAGAACAGAAAATTGTCCAAAACCATGTATCTCTCCTTTACAATAGGTCACCTACACAATGAGAACCATCCTCAATTTATCTATTTATTTTCCTGATGAGTTACCCCATCAGCACCATTTTTTTTTCCAGCATTTTCTCATCCTTTGCATTCACCATCATCTTTTAAGGTAATCAATCATAAATTCGCTAAAAATTGTATCTACTATCGCAAGACTGTTCTGCCAGTTGGAACAAATTGATGGTTTCGAAAAAAAAATTGACTGCTCATTGTGAGTTCTTGGTCCTCTTAGCATTGAACAGTTGCCTAAGGAAAGCAAACTTCCCTCTTGTCCGAACAGATAATTCACTCATGGTACCATTACTTGCTGCTGCTTCGTTGGAGTCGGTATCTGGTATAGGCGGTGAGGGTGGTGACAGTTTGAAGAGGAATGAGTTGAGCATGCGGATGATCTGGCTGAAGGTAGGCCTTAAATTAGGGTCTTCAACCCAACATGACTGGATGATAAAGGCAAGATCAGGGGATATATCCTCCGGAAGTCGAGGCCTCTCTTGCTGCATTTTCGGATAAGAATATAAGAGTAAGCAACATAAATAGAGGTATTTTTTCTTATATCAGACTGCACATAAGAGCCAAATGTATTAACAGCAATAACAGATTTAATTGTTGCACCTTGAAAGCAGCAGCATAAGCAGCCTGCAAATTGGACATGCCTTCAAAGGGCATGCGGTTGGTCAATAATTCCCATAAGACAATCCCAAAGCTATATACATCAACCTTGTTATTGTAATGCTTCTTCTCTCCCTGACGTAAGGTCACAGTGCTATACAGCTGCAAATGCTAATAGTTGGTCAAAGGGAACTAACAATTGTGCAGGAATAGTAGAATACGTTAGAAGCAAATCAAATAAACTTTCAAGCACATTCAGAAACAAAAACCAACCAAAGTAACCCAAATTAGTGCATAAGGCTTCAAGATTGGCACCCAATTAATGTTTTAACATTACTTAGGGTTTATAGTAACCAGTTCAACCCCCTCGTACATCATCTCCAATTCTATCTATCATAGATAAAGAATTCATTCAAAAGCCAGAAAGAGAGTAATAGCTTGTCGTTCTGCAGTTAACTCAAATAACCATGAAACTTTTCCAAAATAAAAAGATGTACTACTTCCAATTTCAAGAACATCAAAAGACCCCAGATACCTGAAAGACTGAAAATAATTAAACATGTTGACAAACCTCTGGAGCCATCCAACGGTAAGTCCCAGTTTCTGCTGTCATCATCTCTGTCACGCTTTCTTCTCTTGCAAGACCAAAATCCGCAAGCTTTACATGTTTCTGATTTTCCGTAAGCAATAAATTGTCTGCAATAGACATCAAATGTATTGTTAAAGAGCGAAACCTAATAATTTTCAGAGTAAAGATTAAATGAAAAAAACACCACCACAGGCCCCAACTGAAAAATAAATGAACAAACACCTAAGACAAAAAGTACAGCCTTGTTTTGCAAGTGAAGCTGCCTTCTTTTACCATTTTTTATTTCAAAATGTTGGTCCTAGGATGGTATAAACTGATCACATGAAAGCAATCTTGTGAACTAAGTGCAGAGTCCAACAGAAAGAATAATTCCACTTGGAGAGAACTTAAAGCCATGTCTGCAGCCTACTGGATAAGCACAGCTTAGCAAGAGCAGAATACAACATACAAATAACAGCGAACAAAGGAAACTTCTGGCTCAAGCACTGCTGCAATTTCCACTAATTATTTAACAGAACTTTGAACAGAGATACACAATTAGAGCACATTATTTCCTTTTTAAGTATTGGAGTTTTCATCAAATGTTAATTTTGAAAAAAATGTCAATAAATTCATTAAGCATTAACAAGCCCTCTTCTATTGTCATTATCCAGCAGTAACAAATACAGTAGTTAAGTACAGCTCAAAATGTTACCAGGTTTCAGATCTCTATGGATAATCCCATTGGCATGTAAACATTCCATCGCATGAGCGATATCAAGAGCAAATTTAATTGCCACATGGAGTTCTAATGGATTTGGACGAATACTCATCAGGTACTTCCGGAGTGACATCCCGGGTAATAGCTCAGTAACTATCACCATTAGAGGATCCTTGCAAGCTCCAATAAACTGCAGAGACAAAAAAAATTTACAGAATCCAGTAAAATTATTAATTTGAAAGCCAAAGGCCTGCAACAGTTCAAGCAGAGCAGGCATGAATACATTTATAAAATTTCCATTTCAAATGTCTTAAATAAAAAGAACTAGAGAGTACATCTTTAATCACAGCACTTACCTTGACAAGATTTTCATGTTTTACCCTAGACATCATATTAACTTCACGAGCAAAACGACTCTCAAGTGCAGCTCTTTCTTCAGAAGTACTCCCACGATGGAGGACTTTGATAGCAACAATTCGATCACGGTACCTGGAAAATCATTAGACTAGACGTACATAACTAGTACACAGTACACTAGACAACAGACAAACTACTCATAAACACTCCGTGCAATAACAAAATGGCACAGTTCATGTAATGGCAACCAACTAGTAACTCCCTCTATTTTACAAACAAAAATAACTTATCAGCTAATAATAAAGATTCCTCCTCCTATTCATCCAAGTACAGAGTTGAAATGTGTTCCTCCAGAACCGTACAAGCATATCCTTACCAGAACAAATGTTACATGAAAATAATCCATACAGTATACAACGAATTAAAAATACATTCTTTACTTAATCACACCAAGCAAGCAAAGAGCAACTAAGTTGAGCATAAATAGTTGGCTGACAAGGAATTGAGACTGACCTTCCTTCATAAACTTTCCCATGTGCTCCTTCGCCGATTTTCGACCCGATAAACAACAACTTCGGGTCAACCAACAAGTTCTCATCGATCGTCAGCTGCTGCGGGACCAATATCGGTTCAACCTCCACCGACCTTCGCAAAACCGTTTGCTCATGCTCCCTCTCTCCTCTTCCTCCGTTGTTCACGCTGCAATTCATGCTGCAACTCTCAAATGATACCCGAATTCCTCATTTCAACCCCTTCCTTTCCACGATGCTTAATCACACAATTGACATTATCCCAATCCGATACTCCGGCTCTTCATCAAGGTTCAGTGAACATTTGCTTCAATTTCCATAGCATCCCTCAAACCACCATCACAAAAAAACCCAATTCCTATAAAGACTGAAGCTTTCTTATCCAGACTAAACATTCAGAGAAGATTCTTCTACTTCCACCAGCACTACTTCACGAATTTATATTATAAAAGGAAAGAAAAAAGTAAAATTGTTTGGAAAGAAAAGGAGTCAATTTTCTGACCGATGGCAAGGCTTTTCTTTTTGTTTCCGAATATAAATTGCGAAAACGAACTCTCTTGTCAAACTTGTATGAACAACTTTGCTTGAGCTGGAAGCCTCGTCGGCTTATAAAAGGAATTTACAGCCAAGGAAACCAGATAAACACAACACAAAAGCAACTTACAGTCGACGCTAAATTTTCCCAAGAAAATTCATCCAAGAAAAGAAATTTAATAATAATGAATAACAATAAAGCTAGAATCGCTGCCTTTAACGTCTAATTAAGCTCGGAGCTTCTTTTTCTTTTTCTTTTTAAACTTCTACATAGAAAAGGAACCTAACCCTAGAAAGCACGAGCCTCTCTCTCTGTGCCTCTGAGCTCGCTTTCTTTCTCTCTCTAGAAATCGCGCTTTTTTCTCTCTCTACCCACTGAAGAGAAAACAGAGGCGCTCCGATGAAAGATAAAATTCCGAGAGTCCGTTCCGACGGAGGGTTTAAAGTTTTAAAAGTTGAGAGCAAATTTTTCTTTTAAAAAAAAAAATTCTAAAAGCAGAAAATGAAATGGCCAACGGAGAAGCGCCACGTGGAGAGCACATAAACAAAGGTTTGCTCTTTGCGGTCGTGGCATGAGCCGATTTGGACGTTCTTGGTCAAGAAATCGTATAACGACAAAACGTATTCGGCTCGGCTCGGCTCGATTTTGGCTTTGGGTTGAAAGCCGGTCAGCTTTTTCTGCCTCGTGCTCATTGCTTGAGAGTTAGGAAGGAAGTTAGGAGTTAGGACAATCCTTTTTTATCCATTGAATTTTTTAATTTCGTTATAATTATTAAATTAATGAAGGAGGGAGACAATTTTTTATTTATTTTATTTTATTATAAAGTCAGTTGGAGTATTTGTGCATCTGATGTGGATGTTGATATTTCTCCAAATTTGCATGAACTCAAAAAGTTGCCATTTTCGTTTTTAATGCCAATCTTTTCAGATTGATAAGGAGGGGCGGGCACTATGAATTGTGATGTTTTTCTTTGACACTCGACTCTTTTTTTTTTCATATTTGTTAGGTAGAATTTACTTGTGCTTAGATGGGTTCATTAGTTTACTTTTATTTATTTATTTATCAACGTTCATTAGTTTAATTATGTATTAGAATATTACATGGTGTAGGTTGACTCTACATTATGGTCTGCTAATGAAAAACTAGGACCCGTTCTCATTCCTCCCACTTACATTGATGTGTAAGTTCATATATTTTTCAGCTATTTGCCTTTGATATATAAAGTCTAACTCCGCAATTAATGTAGTTTGAAATTGAAATTAATGATAGTCAATATGAGGGGTCTGTATATAAGCGGATATGTAAGTATCCTTGTCACAACCCGCAATTCAACTCCACCGACTTACCTCCTTGAACATGTTGGTTCTCTAAATTTGGTTTAAAATTGTTAGTTTTCTAGTAGACTTATGAGTAAATGTTAATTTATGTTTATTGGTGGTAAGGATTTTGAATAAATAAATAAAGAAAGAAAGAAAAATCTTTGTCGCCACACTATAGCATGATGGGCATGGAACAACTTTGTACCACATCACCGTGATGGGTGCACAACTTTTGTACCGGAGGACTTTTTCCGTGTGTTGTGACTAGAAGGGTTGAATTTCGAGCACGGAAAATATGCATATGCCAAAATTCCGGTGGCCTGTGTTGTATGTTGGATATGCATTAAATAAAAAATATAAAAAAAAATAAAGAAAAAGAAAAATGGCCTTTTCAACTAATTAATGACACGTGTGAGATAGACGTGGGTTTTGTGTGGCATGGCATGGTTTGGGTTGGGTTGGGGCAATGACTTGACTTGTTTGAGGATTGAGGTTGAGGGTGTGGAGAGTTTGGGGCCTTGGGTTGGGACTAAGATGGGACTTGGGGGACCGTTGATTCTGATTTCAAATCTCTGCCCCCTCCCTTTGATTTTTTTTACTTTGACGTGTCAGTCAGATGAGTAGATATGTGGTCCCCGCAGGTCCCATCGCCATCTGATTGGAACAAGTGTGTGGACATTCTGACATTCAGATTATTCGTGTGTGTAGAGTTAGGTTCATAATGCAGCCTCCTCGGCTTCCCTTCTTCTTTCACTATTTCATTTCACCTCCTTCATGTTCAAATTATCAAATCAATGATGCATGTTATAAGGATCATGTACATGGATACAAACTTCAGTCTCTTTCGGGGGACTGACTCAGGATTTCAAAATGGAATAAGTTAAATTTACTTTGCGTAAAGGGTCTACGGGTAAAACAATGTTATAAACAAACTCGAATGGGTTGTATTAAAGATTTTGATTTTGATTTTATTAAAAAAAACAAAAAAAACTCCATAGAGATTTTGGGCTTCAAATTGAGACTCCACAAGATAGATAATGTTAATCATAATGAGGGGCCGTACAGGTATATCAATTTATAGAATTTTTTTTTTAGTGTGACCATTAAGTCATTACGTGATATTTTTAATCCAATTATTGTACTATGTGTATACCTACGTTTATTTATTTTTATTTATTTTTAGGACCTTTTCTATTGAGAGGGGCGATAGCATATTAAACTCACACACAATACACAAATGCTAGGACTCGAACCCAGGACCTTGCCTGAGGGAGTAAATACTCCAAACCACTACACTAGTGGGTCCTTTGCACCTACGTTTATTAAATATCAACATTTTCATCCACTCAAGAATTAGTAATACCAAATAACAATATGATTTTTAGGGCACTTCCAGCGGAAGGCCTTTTGCCCAAGTAGAACAAGGCCTAGCCCACAAGATGGCTCCACCGCGCAAAGGTAAGCCTGGGTGAGATGTGGGGCCCACCAACCTGGGCAAGCCCTTAGGCAAAATTAGCCCATGTTGTTGCTTGGGCTGCTGATGTCATAATGACATCAGCAGTCAATTTAAATAACAAAAAAATTTAAAACAAAATACCAAAAAAATTATTATTATTTATTTATAAATACCTAGCGATATTCTTTACTTTTCACACAAAACCTCTATACAAATTTATCTCCTCATATCTCATGTGAATAGTAGTTGCCTTTGGGTTGCTATGGCAATGGGTGGAAACACAACAAGTATTTTGCAAGAGCTGCCACTATTCACGTGAATAGCAACAACCCTTGCCTCCCCACCAACCGATAAAGCATGAACATTCAAATTATCCAATGTGAATATTGAGAAATACCACGTGTAGAGCAAATAATGTTTAATAATATGGACGTGTGGCTCTTCCTGGGAATTTCTTTCCTTTTTTGTGTTGTGTCTGTGTATATATTTTGTGGACGACATGTCGGCAACATCCAACTTTTTGATATCAAGAGATAAAACCGTGACCGTTGTTTATTATGAACTAGTCAACATAATTATCAAACATATTGGCCCCACTTTCTTTTATCTTCTTGAAAATAAAATAAAAAATATATCCTTTTACAAATGAGTAGTTGCCATATGTACAGGCGGGGATAGCCATCCTACGTGCACAATCAATCATATTTTTGGACCCACCCGTCCGTGATCCACAAGGTATGTACACATCCTCAGATGCTTGATTTACAAGTTATAAGGTACTTACTTTGTTGTATTTTTGTCAGGTACTATAATTAATAAAAATCTCATTTTTACTGAATTATCAATGCAATTCTATAATTTTTCAACAAAAAAAAAAAAACGCTAATTATATGAACACATAAAGAAGTTATTTATTAATTTGAGCAACATAAACATAATAATTCGGCTTATACATAAACCTAAGCCAATCGCATGGCCATTATTATATTATAGTCATAAATTAGAGAAGGGAAGAACAATAAGCAATAAGTTAACTAATTATTTGTCCGATGATTGAGCTTTGCATTGCGTAACCTTAAAACTTTCGGCAGATTTCCCGTTGTTCAGAGGGACCTTCAAAGAGCATGCTATATGGGGTTGCTTAATTTTAACCTTCGATGCAAGAAACTTGACCCAGTACTTAACATCCAGGTTCAACAGGATATCAAAATCCCCAGCATTCTTAAACCTGGAGACCTCATCAGCCCCGAGAGCCACTGGCCGCTGCCCCTTGAACAATGCCGGTAATACGACCGTCTTCTTGTGCCCTAGGTAGGAGGAGGAGCTCAAGGTAACATTATTTAGGGTTTGCTTCATGAAACTGGCACCGGCTTCGATTCGGTCAAAGTGGAGACCAATCTTGTCGTTAGGGTTTTGAAAGGTTATGTTGAGGGCTAGATTGTATTCAAGGGTGGTGTTATTGTTTGTCAAGTTGAATTGGAGAAGTGAGGCATCGGTCACTTGGTAGTTGATGCGTTTCAAATGAGAAACACGAACAAAGCCAGCTATGATCCAGGACACAAAACCAGTGATGCCTAGGGCAAAAACTAGGGCCACAAGGATGATGGAGCAACAGCAAAAAGTGCACATACCCATGGTTGAGGAAATTAAAGAGAATTTTGAATTGGTATATGATAACGATGTACAATAAGAGGTATTTATAGTAGTAGCACTGAGAAGAGAACGTGTGTGTGTTATTGAATTCTAGATTTCTAAACTGGAAAGTAAATGTAAATGAGCACAGCCGCGTGTTTGGATTGATAGAAAATAATAGATGAAAGCGTATGTTGTGTAAATCTCTAAACTTCAGTTTCAGCCCCAGTCTAGGTATGATTTACAATTTTTTATTATCCAAAACGTAATTAATGTGAAATACCAAAAAATGTATGGACAAAGAAACTGAAACTTTTTAGAACCGTAAAAATGTAGAAATTGATTATCCAAGATCCCATCAAATCAAATTATGCACCGAGGAATCAAAAGATATATATATAAGATAACGCGTTTATATAATTATAAAGGGTTTCAATCTGTAAAATTTCGGAAGAAAAAAGAAGAAGATCAATCAATCAACTTGCACCAACTCCCAACCGAACACACTACCAGCAAAAAGAAAGAGAGAAGGTATTATGCATAAAACATTCCATATTAAAAAATGATATATTTATATTATTCCTCATGCCCACTTATACGCCAGTTTTTACCTTTTTCGTTAAAAAAAAAAAAAAAAACAGATGGACCACGTATGTATCACGTATTGACACATCGAAAAGTTAAAATATATGATAATGAGTTATTGGCTCGGAATAGCGCTATAGTGGCGGTAAGTTTTTCACCACAAACACAAGTTGAGATGAAAAAAGAAGGTAGATCACATGGTCTTCAAATAGAAAAAAGTGGATTGAAAACAAGGACGAAATTATAATATAAAATCGGTTGGTCTAAATCTCCAAGCTATGTGTCATTTGCCTCAGTGAAAAGAAGTTTACAATTGCTCAATTAATCTTTGGTCTGGCATTCATGTAACCTTACAAGTTTTTCATCTAACAAAAAATGTCCTCGCATAATATCAACTGTGCAAATGATATGGCCTATTTATTTTTATTTTTACATTAATATTTCTTCATACTATATAAAGGATAATCTATGGGA